TCAGGGAAGCATTTCTGAACCTAAAATGATCAGATCACACAGAATATCACCTGCATGCTGAGTTAGAGAGTTTAAGATCATAGTAATATTACATTTACCTGACAGTGATGATATGAATGCAAATACAACATCAGTGAATCCCAGCTCATTTCAACTGTCCCTTTCATCTTCCTCTCTCATACTCACATCAGATAATATCTTACCTTGCTACTTCAAACACTTCGTAACATGTTCCTGCTCTCTAAATCTGGGATTTGTGCGCAATATACAACACCGTTCAAAAGTTTGGAGGAAGGTTTTTTTTTCATATTCATCACAGTATCCTGGTAAACCCCCCCCAAAAAACACTGTTTTCAGTATTGATAATATTTAATGTTTCTTGAGCAGCAAATCAGCATTTTAGAATGACTTCTGATCGATCATATGACACTAAAGACTGGAGTAATGATGCTGAAAATTCAGCTTTGCATTAATTCAGGAACAAATTACATTTTAAAATATATTAAAACAGTATGTGTAACTGGAAATGTACAGAAATATATTCACATTTTTTTAATATCTCACATCTGCAGCTTGTGTTTCATAACCAAACATGTAGCCCCTAATTTGAATGTACAGTGAACTGAATGAGAACTTATTACATTTTGTCAATTGGGAGATGTGGAAAACAAATAATATGAACTACTTTTTAAGTTAAAAAAAAAAAAAAATTCTGTCCTTTATTCGCCCTCATGTCATATCCCTTTAACCATCACACACAGTATAAGTTGACAAATTTAGGTTACAGGTGCAATGCCAGAAAAAAGTAGACTGAGGGGAGGAGGCAGACCATCGAGGGCAGCAGGTGTGTGTGTGTGTGTGTGTATTTGGGTTTTGGTCACGGCTCAGCTGCCTGATCTTCATATCTGCCCTGGCCAGCCTCAGTCTCTGGAGTCTCCTTTTTCTCTTCTGTTTCTCCTCTGTTGCTTTCAGCACTTCATTCATAATCATCTATTCATTCCAGCACGAATACGAGAAACACGAGCCAAATGACAATACTGTCAGCTTCACGTTTGCAGGATGTGTGCTTGTACTAATCCTTAATTTCATTCTCCCCTGTGACAAATCAGGTACAAGAACAAATTCAAGGTCAAGGGAATCTTCCTAGAAACAGTCAGCTCCCCTCAGTCTGTTAGAAATGTCTTTAATATTTGATAGTTGAGTTAGAGATAATATCAGCAAATGGTGTTTTGTTTTTGTTTTTGACTGAACACTGAACAAATCAGTTTCATTTATTTCCAAATCACTCTCGGCCAACAAAGAAAAGTAGAAGCACTGGAGGCAGAATAGTACGGTGCCCGTAAGGTGACATGGTCGGTTCACTTAGTTTTGTCGTGGCCACGAGATAATAACATGTTGAGGGAACGACATATTTTTCTCGTGGCCACGAGTTTTAATGTTGAAGGAACAGACCGTTACACACGTGTTTTGTATTGCATTCGATGGGCTCTTCGTTTCGTAATAATTTACTGTATTTGTTAAGTTTCACAAATTTCTTTATCTGCTTTTTGCACAAGTCACATTGGAACATCGTTGAAGGTTTACGGGACTTCCATGGATCAGCACGATCTTTTGAATTTTTTAAGGGAACGCAACATTGAGGAGGAAACATAGCCAGAATCGAACAAGACAAGGTAAATAGTTGTCATTTTTGTTTTTATAGATATGTGCAGGGCTTGACAGCCACTGTCGCTTGTGTTTTTGTCAGTTACTTGCCACTCAGAATTTTCACGGGCCACAATTTTGTTTTTGTGAAATTATGTTTTATATGATATTATCAAGTTCTGTGTGCCAAAAATGCGTCATTTGTCATATCAAGTCCTTAAATTGTATTAGAAATTTCAATCGTAATAAGACAACGTAATAAGACTTTAGGGCTTTTATCAGTCAAATTAAATCAGTAGGCCTATCAATAAAATCCATATTTTCACTGCAGAGGAAACGGAAACAGCTGAAGTGCCATTTAGATGCATTTACAGAGACAATTTAAACTGAAATATAGCATGAATGCATGCATTGCATAATAACAACTGCACATTATAGGCTGTTTTAAATGTTTTCAATATGAAATTTTAAAAATATGCAATGATACTTTTAAAATTAAAATGAACTGCCAGTAGGTGGTGCCAAGTGACTGTTTTAATGAGTCATTCAACTGATTTGTTCAAATGGCTGATTCATTCATGAATGAATCAAGTGCCTGGCTGCGTCCGAAACCGCCTACTTCTCTACTATATAGTAGGCGAAAAGCAGTAGGCGAGCGAATAAGTATGTCCGAAACCTCAGTATTCATAAAAGAGTAGACGAGAATTACCTGGGTGAAGTACTAATTCTCGCAGGATTCGGACACGCGTCTACTTAAAGTGCGTCCGAAACCGCCTACTTCTCTACTATATAGTAGGGGAAAAGTAGTAGCCGAGCGAATAAGTTTGTCCGAAACCTCAGTATTCATAAAAGAGTAGTCACATAATGAAGAAGAAAAATAGGATGCGTGGATGAGGGTGTTTACAAATGTACGTATTACAAACCAAAAACACGGTTCCTTATTTTAAATTCGCATTTTTTTTAACTACTTTAGAGCAAATTGTTGAAAGTGTAAAGATGCTAAATGGTATAGTATAGTTGTGATGTTGCTGTAAAAACACGTTTTTTTATTTATAGCTAACAGGGGGGCTCCAGGAAGCACACGTACATCTCCAAAGTAGATTTACATACATTTTAAACCATATACATCTTAAATACGATTACTAAATGTCTATTTAATATCTGGTAGGAAAATCTTCGATATGAATTTCATAGAAGTAACTTATGTCTAATAGGTCCTAGATATGAAGTAGACATCTGAGTGTGTTTCTCACACTGAGCAGTGCAGGCATGAGGGAAGCTCACAGCTGTCTCCAGTTATGCAGATTTAAATGCCACCTACCAGCCAATCAGAAATTAGAGTGTTGTTGTTTCCGTGAATTGCTGCAAGCACGGTCGTTACTAGGCAACATGGATGCGCACTCACACCGAGTGTAATGAATGTAAAATACTTCTGCGTCGGACCTACGCCTTAGCCTTTACGCCGTAGGCTATGCGTCAGTTTTCACAGTTTTCATGAACCGCAGCCTTATGAGGATTGTCAAGCAAAATCTATTCAAGAATTTGAGTGAACTTCACAAGGAATGGACTGAGGCTGGGGTCAAGGCATCAAGAGCCACCACACACAGACGTGTCAAGGAATTTGGCTACAGTTGTCGTATTCCTCTTGTTAAGCCACTCCTGAACCACAGACAACGTCAGAGGCGTCTTACCTGGGCTAAGGAGAAGAAGAACTGGACTGTTGCCCAGTGGTCCAAAGTCCTCTTTTCAGATGAGAGCAAGTTTTGTATTTCATTTGGAAACCAAGGTCCTGGAGTCTGGAGGAAGGGTGGAGAAGCTCATAGTCCAAGTTGCTTGAAGTCCAGTGTTAAGTTTCCACAGTCTGTGATGATTTGGGGTGCAATGTCATCTGCTGGTGTTGGTCCATTGTGTTTTTTTGAAAACCAACGTCACTGCACCCGTTTACCAAGAAATTTTGGAGCACTTCATGCTTCCTTCTGCTGACCAGCTTTTTGAAGATGCTGATTTCATTTTCCAGCAGGATTTGGCACCTGCCCACACTGCCAAAAGCATCAAAAGTTGGTTAAATGACCATGGTGTTGGTGTGCTTGACTGGCCAGCAAACTCACCAGACCTTAACCCCATAGAGAATCTATGGGGTATTGTCAAGAGGAAAATGATAAACAAGAGACCAAAAAATGCAGATGAGCTGAAGGCCACTGTCAAAGAAACCTGGGCTTCCATACCACCTCAGCAGTGCCACAAACTGATCACCTCCATGCCACGCTGAATTGAGGCAGTAATTAAAGCAAAATGAGCCCCTACCAAGTATTGAGTACATGTACAGTATATGAACATACTTTCCAGAAGGCCAACATTTCACTAAAAATGTTTTTTTTATTGGTTTTATTTTATTGGTTTTTGTTAAATGTGAGCCAAAATCATCACAATTAAAAGAACCAAAGACTTAAACTACTTCAGTCTGTGTGCATTGAATTTATTTAATACATGAGTTTCACAATTTGAGTTGAATTACTGAAATAAATGAACTTTTCCACGACATTCTAATTTATTGAGATGCACCTGTATATATGTGTTATTGTGTAGTACAATTCACTGTTGTCAGCACTGTTTGCAATAGATGAATGTAAGTAATGTAAATAAATTTCCATAAAGTAACTAAATATAAGTAATCTATTTTATTTGTCCATTAGTACTGTTGAAAAATTGAGGAACATTTGTGTTAGATAAAAAGCTACTTAAAACATCATCAACTACCTCAATATGTAAATGTAGTTTTGGAGGTAACTTGACTCTTGTCTGGATGTTACAGGGACAGATGAGACACACGTCTGCTTATCCGGTAGAGAGCAACTAATGAAGCCCTCTTCACCAGAAAGCGGAATGCTGCCATCAAAGGCTTTGAGTGAGTACACTACAGAAATGAATAAAACATCTTTTAAATCTTTAGTTGTAATTTATTTTAATTATTGTAATTTCAAACAGAGTTATCACAGCACTTTTCTGATTCTTGATTCCTGTGCATTTGCTGCAGAGCTTTTGTGGTGGTGCAGAACCTGCAAGGAAAGGTGACGCGACATTTGTGAAAAAAAGGGAAAACCTGAAACAAAAATATAAATAAGATCATTCTGTTACTTCTAATACAGAAATCAAATGACATTGTGCTGTTAAAATGACTGCTTTTGTATTATGTTTGTGCGTCTTTGCAGGATCTGAAATGTCTGCAGACTGGTGTGAGCAGTGAGGATGGAGAAGTCCACAGCAGCATCCTGGAAATGGTCCAGTGCCATGGATGAGACGCTCCATCACTCCACCTCTTACTGTCTCATCTGGACCAGATGCTGCTGTGGTCTCTTCATCCTCAGTGACCCCAGAGCCAGCGAGAGCATCTAGAGAAACACCAAAAGACACTGAGGATGT